GTGATTTATTTTTATTATTATTATTATTATTATTAGAGCTTCATGTTAATGTTAATTTAATTTTTATGCTAAAAAAGTGCATATAGCTGCTAATTGTATTTGTTGTTTGTTGATTTTCAAATATAAAACTTATTGAAATGTTTTCAGTGTGTGTATCAGTTCTTTTTGAACATGTTCATCTAATTTTAACAAAACCGTGATAATATTGATAATCGTGATAACTTTGGTCACTATAACCGTGATATGAAATTTTCATACCGTTACATCCCTAGAACAGACAGCATGTAAAATGAAAAACATAAAATAACCCTAATATTACAAGCTGCAACAAGCATCAGGGTACCTACTAGCCTGCTGCAGATTATTCATTCACCATCATGCTGACTTGAACCTTAATGCTATGAGAAAAATTAATCAGCTGCTTAATCAACCACCCAAAGTGTGAGGTTAGAAGAGAACAAAGGTCAATCAACTGCCTAATTAACCAAAAGTTAGCCACGTAGAGGCAGTAATTTACTGACCCCATCGGTTTCCGAAACGTCCACATTGCCATTGGCATCGTCGTCCATTTGCTTGTGAATGCTGCGGATGGCCTCAAAACTGAGGATGGCGATCTCATCCTGACAGAGCAGCTCGTCAATGCGGCAAAACTCTGAAGAAAAGAGACAGACACAGTTAGTGAGATACTTAAACAAGCCAGGCTGCAAACAAGTCGAATTCCTGGATTACCTCTCATTTAATATGTTTATAATGCATGTTCTGGATCTTTGTAATCTTTAAACAAAACATAATTTGCCTTTCCACTGAAACGACTTTCCTTTCCCTATGAGGCTATTGGATAATGTTAAAGGTGCAGTAGGAGATCTTGGAAAATGCTAACTTTAGCCTGATAGCACTGAAATCGAACATCCCACCCTCCCTGCAATCGCCGTCCAAAGCCACACCCCCTGAACGCATATACGCTCACAGACCAGAATACCAGAGACAACATTACTACAATAGGCTACATCAGCGGTTCCCAATTCCAGCCCATGTTCCGAAATAAAGTAAACTTCAACGGATTTCCCCTGCTCAGGGAGTAGGGCGCAATGAACACTGTGTAGGGATCATATCGATCGGAACACAGTTCATGCACGTAGCTCACTTCTAATGAGCTGGTTATCTGAATCGGGTGTGTTAACTAGCGAGCCCGGCAAAATATGCAGAGCGGGGCGTGAGGACTGAAATTGGGAACCGCTGGGCTGCCTATATCATGTGTCATTCACCAGTGATAAAACTTTAAAAGTACTACAATACCAGGAAGGAAGACCGGGTTGTTGATGTTTGTCTGCCATTCTCGCTCTGTCTGCACAGCGTGCGTGAACGCGCTGATGACGTATCCTGTCGGGTGCCCACGAACCGGGTGCGCAGAGGTATGCTAATACATACGTTGACAGGCAGGTAGGAAAGCCAATTAAAACGCTCGGACTGAGCGTTTTGATTGGACGAACATTTCTTGGTCCTACGCCTTCCATAGAATATATAAATACAGATAAATACATTTAGACCACTTAACTTAATAATTGCTATCAGGATGTGAAGAGACTTTCAACCAGCATAACACAAAATGTTTCTGAAGACAATCACCTATTGCACCTTTAACCACTAGCTATAGTCAATGTTTTAGTGGACAACTGATATAGATTTTTTTATGATTTATATTAAAAATGTATATTTATTTTACATAATTGAAAATTAACCAGATTTATTTTATTTTTTTTTACTAATAATATACCTGCAAATGCTGTAATACATCTTTCATACATCATTTACTTTCTTCCAACAGTTCTGTCAAATAATATATTGAATCGGTATGAACAACAAAAAAACAATCGTTTTTAGTGTTGTCAAAACAGAAGTTCAGCTTCTGAAATTTATTGGCCAAACAAAAACTTCATTGCGATAATTAATAGGGATGCACCGAATAGTCGGCAACCGAAATTATTCGGCCGAAAATAGCAAAAAAAAGCTCTTTGAATAAGCGAAAAGACCGAATAAATTGTACCGAACAATGATATGACGCGATCAAATAGCAACCGTCGCAGAGTGAGAGGCTCGCACTCTTTATTATGCAGCACACACGTCAGCAGTGTGGAAGCATTTAAACTGTCGGAGAAAGACGCAAAAATCATTACAAGCACCGACAGCGAGAGACTGTCTACGACTGCATCGCATGTCTTCGATGAGAAGAGGAAGGGGTGATTGTTGCTGGTTACTGTATGATGATTGAAATCGCGAAATGGCCTTAAACAATTAGTAAATAAACTGCAGAACGTTATGTTTTCTAATACACGCGCGCATTGCATGTATTCTGACAGCGCTGCACGAACTCGCAG